TTTTATCTGTCGCTAGGCAACAGCATTAAGGGACCTGATGTTTCCATCTTGTTGGCTGGAGCTTGTTAGCATCAGTGTGTGTGTTTGTAGCAAGACGAGGTCCGAACAGGAGACTCAGGTTTAGCTTAGCTTGTGAAGGAATTCTTAGATGGTATCTGCTGGGTTTTGTGTCAGGTTGCACAATGTCCTCCTCCTGATCTCCTCCACACAAACACGGCACAGTCCAGACTCACATTTCTATGCTGATAAGTAGGTCTTAAGGTTATTCTGCTAAAACATGATCTTGAAAGTGGATTTCTTCAATTGAAGATCAAGGTTCTGTGGTGTGATTTTCCCATATTTATTTATCAAAATCTTTTTTTCTTTCAGCAGATTAAACTTTTGCTAATTATTTTTTCCTTTTTATTAAAGAACATGTTAAATTTTTTTCTTTTTTAGCTTTTTTAGCTTTTTTTTTTTTTTTTTTTTTTGTCTCACATTGCATCAATAAGCACATGTTTTCTGACGGTAGGCACTAGAGGTGCACCGATTGCAGTTTTCTGGCCGATCACCGATTTCTAAAAAGTCTGACCTGCCGATGTCGATTTTGGCCGATACGATTTTGTTTTGTTAGCGACGCTGTCAGGTGTTATAAGGTCACAATGCTCCTTCAATTTTCCAATCTTATTTTATTGAAAACATGCCCTTGAACAATATCCTAGTAACAATACAAACTTGTTTTAACTGGTCATGAGGTAGTGCCCTGAAATATAAATGAAGTTCAGACAATTGTTGTTAAAACAAAACAAAATATCCGTTTCTCATGCAAGTATGAGTTAATCCATTAAGTCCTTTAATCCATTAAGTGTAGAACCACTAGACTGAGGAACAGCTTCTACCCTGAGGCTGTTAGACTCATGAATCTCTAACTAGAATAATCACTGTGAAAAACCATATCATGTTGCTGCTGATCTGTTTCATGTTGCTGCTGATCTGTTTCAATGTTGATGTGTTCATGCATGCACATCTGCTCACAGACTCATGTTCATGTTTGTGCTGATGTTCAATGTTTTATGTTATGAGTGCTTAGTGTATATTTAGTTGGTGTTTTTCTTAGTTCATATCTTAGATGTTATTACTGTTTTTTTTTTCCTTATACATTTTATTGTTGGATGTAACTGGGACCCCGTGTACATAATTTCGCTCCACCACATGTACCACATGAGGTGCGAATGACAATAAAGAAACTCTGACTCTGACTCTGAAGTATCGTCCGATTTCCCAAAATTAAGGATATCGAGGCCGATTTATCCCTAGTAGACACCCTCCCTCATTATAATTGGATCTTATTCCGCTCAAAACTATCCCAAATCTAGCAATGACAAGTGTAAATGTATTTTCTAAAGGAATTTTGAAAAAACAACATTAAATTTTGTTTGTAAAGGTCCATGTTGTCGGATAAAATGAGTTCCCTTTGTGCCAAATGGTTGTGAAGTCTCTGGCCTACCTTCATATCTCTAATAATTAAATCCAACTCGCATTTCAAAGCTGCTGTGAAAAGTATGTTTTATTATTAGCATGGATTTGGTGCTGATAGAAATTCTGCTCAACCGTTTGTAAAGATGTGGATTGTGGCTGTAAGGTGTTTTTACATTTATACAGGAAATATTTTGACTAGATTCACAAAGTTGTCAGTTTCCATTTTTTTTGTTTTATTTAAAATAACTCAATGAAGACTGTAGTTTTTGCTTCTATTATGAAGATTTTAATTCTGTGTACATGGCATATTTTGTTGTGCATATATAATAAAAATGCGCAGATTCTAGTTTTTGGGCCCTATACAGATTTTTGTACCGCTCTGACTTGCCAATACACAGTGCCTTTTTTTCTATTACTGATTTCTCTTAAAGAACTGTCACGAACAGAAAATGCAGGGTACCCACTCTTCTGTGCAGTGTTGGTGTCTATCTTGGGGTGATGGTGTGAGAGGTGGGGGACAGGTCATAAGACGCAAACGACTTTTCTCACCTAGTTGCATTTAACCTATCAGGCATGTTTTTAGCCTGCTGGAGAAAATCACAGTACCTGCATAAAACCCACACATGCACAGGGAGAATGTGTAAATGCTGCACAAAAGGCTTGAGTTCAAAATAATTAAAAAAATGTTCTCGTTCGTTAAAAATGAGCTGTTCTGTTGTATTGATCCGCTTGATCCTGCTGCAGTTTAGTCTCAGGGCTTCAGAGCGTGTTCAATATTAAAGATGATTAACCTGCTGAGTGTCAGTCTGACAGAAAGCTGTTCAACACTATGTTAATGATGTTATACGATTTTTTTTTTTTTTTTTGCACAAAAGTGCACCATATTGCAAAAAGTTTAAGATCTCGGTTTAACTAATTAGCAGCTTTGTCCAAGTAATCTTCAGTTTACTGTAAGGAGGAGAGAACAAGCCAGCTGGACGACAGCAGATACACGGCAATAATGAGTTTCTTGTTTGAGTGAAACTAAAACAAAATCACTTTGCTGCCATTTTAACTAACAAGTTTTATTAGCAATATTAGCGCTGTTAGAATAACTAAACGGCAATATCTGTGCCCACCTCAGCTGGAAGTGTTTTCAACTCAAAAATTTCTAACTGTGTTCAATGACACAAGTTGAAAAGTTAAAAAAAAAGCCTCTAATCCTTCTGTCTGCTGAACTCCAGTTCAAACAAACCATCAGCTACACGATGAACAGTAGAGAATACTACTCAGAATAAAACAGTTTCTTTCTAAAAGCCTGTCGACCTTTTATTTCCAAACACTGCAGCTTTCTTCATGTTTTCTCCATGCAGTAAAAACTTTGTAGAAGTCCTGCAGGAGGCAGATGTTTATCGGTGGTATGTTCAGTAACTGAAAAAATATCTGATTTTTAATTTTTATTTTTTTAATTCAACCTTTATTTATACAGGCTAGCCTCATTAAGCCACGGGGACTCGTTTACAAGAGGGACCTGTTGTGTGGACTGACCGATCACTGTTCATGAACGAATTTCCAGGAGCGTCTATAAAAATTAATATTTATACATACCTTTTTCCCCTCCCCTCAATTTGGAGCAAAGTTTTTAGACAACTGCTTTGTCTTTAATAAAATCTAGAGACTAAAGCGCTCACATTGAATTGAGCTTTCACTTGAACAAAAATGAAGAAACAGCTGTTTACTAGCTGCAGAATTGGTTGTTTGATGTGACAGACACTAACCAGAGGGAAAGCTTTCTTGGCAGGTGTGCTTTGGTCCAAATGACTTGATAAATTAGTTGGCAAACAACTAATGAATCATTCCTTCCTGAACAAAAGCTAGCTGACAAAGTTGTATTGTGTATCTGTCAGGATTTATAAGTCGTCATCCCAGAGAGGGCTGTAATTATCAGCTGGTGTTTATGAACCTGGGGACTTTGAACAAGGTACAAAAGGAATAGGAATAAATCTCTTGTTGCTCGATGTGGCTAATGTCGACCATAACCCTGTATTGTGTAGTCACAGATAGTCCTCCTCACATCGTCAGCTGCTACAGCAGAAGAGGCTTGAATGACACTGAAGCTTCAGATCTGAGTTTTATCGTGACGGAGCAGGATGCTGCTGTCAGCAGGCCACTCGGTGTGGTACCTTGTCTCCTGTCAGGGCTCTGCGGTAACAGCCAGAGGCTTTCTTCAACAGGCGAACACTTCAAGAGGCGAATTTACCTGCATCCACAAAAATGTATTTTTATAACTGGGTCGTCCCTCCTGGATTTATATTCACAGCTCACTGGATTTACAGGATACACATGACCAACAGACAAATGGGCTTCTTTCACACTTTAGACTAGAATTAGTTTAGCAAGATCTAATAACAAAACAACCCAAAGAATAGAGCTGGGATCCTGGTTCTTGTCTGGAATGAAAAGAAGAGTAGTGTGATGCGTTTTCTTTAAGTGGAGCACAACAAACAGTCAAAATACTTCAGAAAACAATTAAACATCAAGGTCATTGTTTCCAATTATACACGTTTGTAAGGCCCTGTATCATTTTGCATAATTTATTACACGGAAAACCAACATGAGCAGATAATTAAAATCACAATTCCTTCATTCAACCTTTATTTCTACAGGTTAGTCTCATTGAGCCTCGAGGACTCATTTACAAGAGAGACCTGTTTTAAACAAAGATCAGGTTTGAGGTACAGACAACAATAGACAATCGTATAAAAAGCATCAAATGAAAAGTAAATAAAATAAATTATATTAAAACGAAACAAAAGCAGTTACACTATGAAGCGATGTAAAATATTAAAAACAGGAACATGTCTGCAATGGTTTTTTGCATTCAGTTCATTTCAGTTCATTCTTAGAATTAAGTTTTTGCATCTGTGGGAACTGAATCCAACCTTTATTGAAACTGCACATTTGGAGTTAGCTTCAATTTCGTTAGCGCCTTTGAACAAATGCATGTCCCATAGTCCCATTAAATAAATAAAATGTAATGGTTAGTCAGGTGAGTAAATATAAACTTGATTATTATTATTATTATTTTACACCTCACACCCACAGCAAGCTCGTGTCATTTATCTAATTTAGGGCTCTGTTGCACAACAGTTTCACAATATTAACAGAAACTTCTGGCTGTTCACAAATGATCCTCCAGCAATGAAGCTTTTATCACAAAACCAGTGTGACCGCAGAGCTGGTGTGGATCATGCCTACGCACCAACTCAGCCCTGTGACTACCTCCCTTTGCCAAATCGGAGGCATAAACACATCTTAACCTCAACTTACCTGCTTCCTTCTCTGATCACACTGCATGTAAAAATACATTTCAGCTCCTAAAATAACAGGTCAGAGGGGAATAAGGAGAGCTGGAATTTGGTGTTTTATGTTGGGAGTGAAATCTTGATTTGAAGTGTTTAAAAATAAACCCTCCAGTGTACAGTCCAGTCTCCAGTTATAATGGTTTTTGCTCTGCTGTTGAAGAAATGAACACATTTCTACTTTCTCCTTCTGCGTCTCAGGTGCAGAGGACGTGGTGATGGCGTTCTCCCGATCAGAGACAGAGGATCGACGACAGTGACCCAGGCCCCGCCCTCACACCCATTACCCTGCCACGCACGTGATCCACAACAACACACAACTGCACAAACACAAAACTGATGAGCTCAGGAGACGAGGGGCGTCTAGAGGAGCAGAGGGGAAGATGCAGCCGATGCTGCCTCGCCCTCCACCCAAACCGTTTCGACTTCGTCCCGTCCTCACACGATTACCTGAAAGATGCACTTGAGTGGGTCACTGTGGGCAGAAGCCTTGGCAGTAAGGCGATCTGTGAAAACACTCAAATTGCGTGAATGATTTATTTCTTTCGTTTGTTTTATTGTGGCAGAGGTGGGCTGTTTGTTTTGTCTGATAATATTTTTGTCCGAGTCGAGATGTTAGTCCGCGTTTTATCTGCTGCGGTTACCGGAGCTGACTAATTGACCGATAACTGATTGTGTGAGAAAAGGAAGCTTCTAATTATTCTGCTTTAATCCCATCTAAGCTGGCATTTGTTAAAGACAGCACGGACATCACTTATAAAACCATTCACAGAAGTGCATCAGCTGCTTTGACTGTATTCCAGAGAAACTCAGAGATGGATACGAACTGCCATGTACGTGCACACTTCATCTACTATAAGACTCACTATTTAGATGTCAAGAGCAGTAAAAAAAAACAATTAAAGTATGAATTAATGTAGTGTTGCTTTGTCTCGTATGGTCACCAGGGAGTGAAAGCTCGTGTGTGAACATCCTAATAAAAGGCCACATTGTTAACAAACTGTTTTATGCTGCCTACAAAACAGGATTGTTTTCAAACGTTATTTAAAATCTGTCCACATTAGACCGCAGCTTGTTCACGTGGTTCACATTTCAGCTGCACTTGAAGCGTCCAGACACAGAAACAAAGATGCATCCTTGTCTGACCTTCGTCTGCTGCTCTTTTGCTTCATTAATATAAAACCACAGTGTTGTTGCAGGAATGCTGCTCATTTTCTTCAGTCAACTGGAAAATGGAACAAAAGCAATTACAACTGAATCAGCTGTTTTTATGATTCGAACAGCTTAAATCATGCTTCTCGTAATGTATCGACAAGCTGATTGATGTTCGAATGAAAACTCACAACAAGCCTGGGATTAATCTCTCACGCTTAGTTCAGAGCTAACAAGCCTCCTGGAAAAAAAATCAATCATATTTATAAATGGGAGCTGTGTGAAGGTTGAGGATTTTATTTTATTTTTATGTTCTTGTGTGCGTTTTTTGTTTTGTGTCGAGCGCGCGACGGTGAGAAAATGCACAGGAATTTAAAAAAAAAACACTACCAGACAAAATGAAATCAAACATGAAACACAAAATCCATCCCAGACAGATATTTTTGTTGTTATTGTGACGTAAAACCGTAACATTTTTAATTGTATATATAATTAGGACGGTAGAAAAAATGACTTTACATGTGCCAATTGTGTTTTTTATTTTATTTTATGTAAGATAAAATTACCGTCAGAGTTCAGACAAGCTGTGGGCGTAATTTATTTCTTACGGAGATGAACCTCAGACATCATTAGGTCGAGAAATCGTCACTTTTTCTATTTAATCAGCAGCCGTGGCTTTTCGTTCACACGATAATTACACTAACTTTTAACTACCTGAAGACACAAAGCCAAACATCTGAACTGTGTGCTCTTTTTGACTGTTCTGTATCTCTTGCACTATTATCGCGGAATATTTGCAAAATAAATTAAAAACACATTTAAATATTGAGCACAGAATCCTGTTTGGTTCAAAAACCGCTTTGAAAACATTTTTATTCTTTAACGTTAAAATAATCTGTGTTAATTGACTCAACTGGATTTTGAATAAATTATTTTAATTAAAAACAGAAAGGTTTTTCTAGTGACATGCAAAATATTTAATTTGTGAAATAAGTGTAATGTTTTAAATCCGGGCATGTCTGCCTCGTAGTTTTTACCGTTCATTCAACTTTGAGCTTTGATCCTTTGCCACATTGACCGTTGTTTGTACATTCTTGATTTTTGCAGAGGCTACTTTGAAATGTTTCTGGGGGAATACATTTTTTTAATTATTATTATTATTTGGGTATGAATAAGTGTAATGGCAATAAGTTCTATTTGAATGTCCTCAATCATCACAATGTAAACAGGCAACAGGTCTGTCGCTCAATTTATGTTTACTTTTAGTATAAAGCATTCTTTGTCTATGCATCATATCTTTTTTTTTTTAAGTGTCTTACTGTACAGGGCTGCTCTACGGCCTTCGATCAACATGTAAAATAAAGTGTGTGAGAGTGTGTGTTATCATCTTTGGACTTAAAAAACCTCCATGTCGCACCATGCTGGTGCACTAAGGCTTTTATTGTGTATCTTCTTACTGTGACTTAAATGTTGCCTATCTTTTTTATTTTTTGTTATTGTTTGTTTATTGTCTTGGCTTTTTTAAATTTTATTTTTGATTAGTTGGTTTGTTTTGTAAGGCTGCTGACCATTTTGATCAATTGCTTCCAAATCCAACTGAACCATTAAAGAACTTTTAAAAAGTGAAAGAAATATTCTTCATTTTCTTTAGGACTAATTGACGTTTTTAAGCAAGTGTTTAAACGACGACGTCTCACAGTCACGTTTAATATATTCTACTTCTTGAAGTTGTCTCATCCCTGGGATTTTCTGCTTGACGTTTCTTTTGTAACAAATTGATAAAAATCAATGAGCTGGATCTTTCCCACCTCCCTTAACTTTTCTTCCACAACAATTGTTGGCAGCAGTGGGATTCCTTCCAAATTCTGCTCAGTCTGAGGTTAAAGTCTATGACCACAGCAGACAAAAGCTTCCTTACAAATAAGAAAGGAGCAGACAATGGAGAGGAGCCACTAGTAGAATCCCAAACATTTAATAATTCAATTCAGTTTATTTATATAGCTGCACCAAGTCATAAGTTATCTTAGGACACTGAACAAAAACATTCACATACATTATAAATGCCAATTAGTAAAGTTATCTAAAGAAGGAAGGAAGCCAGTAGATGCATTGTCTTCATTTTGTCGTCTCCCATCCTGCGCTAGCACAAAGGCAACAGTGGAAAGGAAAAACTCCCTCATAATAGGAAGAAACGTCCAGCAGAACCAAGCTCAGGATAAGTGACCATCTGCTTCGACTGGCTGGGTTTGAGAGGACAGGAAGGAGAAACGGACACAGAATGGAGGTGAGCAGGTCCTCATTTAGAGGAAAGCTTAAAAAAACATGTTAAAATGGAAATAATTGCAAATACAACTTATTAATTTGATGAAATAGTCAATTTGTCCTCCAGGAGTCTAAGGTTGTTTTAACACCTGAAAGTCTGGTAGGCTCTGTTCGATTCGGGATCAATATTTATGAATATATCTCATGCATATGTTCATCTACATTCTAGAATGTAGATGAACATATGCATGAGATATATTCATAAATTAAACGGATTCTTTCATTTTTCTGGACTGTATATAATGTGCATTGAATTTAGAAATGTAACGTGAGACGTTAATTATCTTTGACCCATCAAAATGAATGCGGTCATTTATTAACAGAATCAAAGTTTAACACATCACACATTTACATTAATTGGCAAAATATGGAAAATAACAACATGGCTAGTTTAGCAAACTGTACAATTTTGATTATCCACACGGCGGTGGATGAGAACTTTACACAGACATTTCTAAAATATCTGGAATGATTTCTACTTGATAGAAGAATTTTAAAGATGGAAAGATGAAGTTTAAAGGGAGAAAAAGATGGGTGAGGGGGTTTGTTTGTGTCAGCATTCAGGACGGCACTCTCCGAACTTTTCTCAGCTTCTTCCCCAGTACACTTAGGTGTTATAAATCAACTTTTTACCTGGAGATGTCCCCACCGGTACGAAAGTCCATTCAACGCACCCTTTCAGCGTCTCCGTAGGAACAGCTGTGAATCGTCCGAAGTAGTGACGGTATTCCGTCCGACACAAATTCGCCTCACGAGTGGACTTCACATGAGTGGAGTCCGTCAGAGTTCCACCCAGAGGTGGAAAATGTTATAATCCCATAAGACTCGGAAGAGCTCTGTGGTCATGTCAGGATCTTCCTGTTTCCCAGCACGGGAGCTGCAACGACTCCAACTCGACTCTTCACCCGACTCTCCTCGAAAACTCTCCGCCACTCTGGTTTAAACTAGGAAGTACCGACATTTTAAAGAGCTCTATTTCCGGTTCATTTGGGAGTTTCTGATTGGTCAATATCGACCAGACAGGGGTGTGTTTTGTGACGTAAGAGGTTACTAGAAGTCAGAAAAACAGCAAGAATGTTATGGAACAGATTGAAAATGTTTTTAGACAGACGAGAGGGATATTTAAACGAGTTGGCGGAAAAACAGGTGCCAACTTCTCTATTTACGTCTGAGAGGATGTAAAAACACGACAGCTCGTTCCAACAACTGGTCTGCGTTTGACTCCAACCTTGGACCACTTACACTTGCTCAGTTAAAGACAGAAAATCAGAAAATGCATAATTACTCTGTAACAGACCTTAACATGAATTCTAACTTTGCATGAGGATTAAAAATCATTATTACTGTTTCACAGTTAATTAAAATGATTAGTTCACTGCAGCATCTAAAATGGTTTGAACTAAAACACTTTGATTATCAACATTTGTAAAATAGTAATGATAATAAAAAAGAGAGTGTTCTTTCACTTGAATTTTCAAGAAAGAAAGTCTCAGGATGGGTCAACCTGTATTTCTGGATTCAAATCAATGAAATGACAAGTTCTGTCCCATAAGGTTCTTAAGGTCAAATCCTGACCTTAGGCTTAGTTCACTACACTGCACTGAGTCAGTCGAACCAACCTGTCCCCCCCACCCCGCCTGTGGTGGTGCTGCACCAAGAACTACTGAAGGAAATTACACAAAAACCTCTGAAGACTCTTCTTCTGGAAATAAAAACAAAAATGGAGTGGCGTCAAATTTTAGCAGTTTTAAAATTTCTGTTTTGTCATTTTTTAACAATGGACTCGGCATGAGCGGAAGCTGAGGCAGAAGACCATGGAGAAAGTTGTTTTTCACACAAGGTGGCTGACGGCTCCGTATGAGGTTGGGGACCAATATTCATAATTTTGTTCACATTTGAGCTGTTGTGTTTGCATTAGTTAGTTTATTTGACAGGGACAGTGCACACAAACATAGAACAGAACAAGTCTGTGACTGATGCGTTGCACAAAGAGTATATAGCTACAGCTAATTCACAACTCCAGTCCCTGGTTGGGCATTTCTGTGCATTAAAATACATACAATTTATCAATCAAAATACAATAAAAATACAAAACATTTTCCTCTACAAATTCTAAAATAACTTTGCAACCCACAAATTTACATAAATATCATAACACCTCCTCAATAGCATTCACACTGCACTCACTGTGCAGTCGAGCCAACCTGTTCGAACATATCCTGATGCATGCTCAATAATCCAGGTAGAAAAATCCAAAAAAGTTCAATCTGGTCCTCTGGACATTCAAAAAAAACCCAAAAAAAACAAAGCAAAAAATCTAGAAACGTTTCTTCTCTCATCCAAGAGACTTCCTCAGTCTGAGGTGCTATTTTCAGCTCAGTCTCTTAAATAGCACCTTCTCAGAGTGGATCAACCAGTTTGCTGCTGACAACCAAAACCAGCTGATCACATGCTCAAGAAGGACCATCAGCCTAACAATGGATCATTAGCACACTGATGGCTGTTTACTACTCACAGAGGGCTGAGTGGACTGTTCGAACCAACCTGTTCCCCCACTCGCCTGTGGTGGCGCTGCACCAAGAACTACTGAAA